GGCGGCGGGACGGAGCGGGGAGTACTGCGGGGAGGTGGCGGTGGACCCCGAGGACGAGAAGGCCATCGAGATGTTCATGAACAAGAACCCGCCGCTGAGGTGAGGAGGCGGCAGGAGAAGGGGCTGGGCCAAGGGCGGCGGGCGGGGCTTCCCCCCAGCGCGGCCCCGGACTCACGTCCCTCCTGCGCTGGCCCCAGGCGCACGCTGGCGGACATCATCATGGAGAAGATCACGGAGAAGCAGACGGAGGTGGAGACGGCGCTGTCAGAGGTATCGGGCTGCCCCATGCCCCAGCTCGATCCCCGCGTCCTGGAGGTCTACAGGGGCGTCAGAGAGGTAAGGCCAAAGCGGCTCTGCCCCGGGGCTCGGCGAAAGCCCCGCTGAGCCCCGCAGCCTCTGTGCCCGCTCTCCCTCCTTGCCCTGTGCAGGCGGTTCTGTGTATTAACTGCAGTTTGCGTAGTATCGGCCCCTGAAGGGCCCAGAGAGTTTCTGAGTGGCAATCTCCTGAGCACCGTGCTCAGGGTGGTCCTGGGACGGTCCTTTCTTAGGACCTGGGATGGTCCTTTCTTACCAGAGGTGCTAAGGGAGGGGAAAACGTTCTCACGGTCATGAGATGAGTCCCGCAGCCCTGCTGTCAGCGCCCATATGTCACGGCCCGGCCTGTATCCATGTCTTTTAAGGTGCTCTCCAAATACAGGAGCGGGAAACTCCCCAAGGCATTTAAAATCATTCCTGCCTTGTCCAACTGGGAGCAGATCCTCTACATCACAGAGCCGGAGACGTGGACAGCAGCTGCCATGTACCAAGCCACCAGGTAAGATCATCTCTGGGAGATGCTGATGTAGGGTTTTTTAGCTTTTTCCTTCCATAACTGGAACCAGATTTACAAAATACCAACCTGTGTCCTGCTCCCTTCTCCACACCTCGCTTTGTGCTTTGCTTTTCCCAGGATATTTTCATCCAACCTGAAAGAGAGGATGGCCCAGCGGTTCTACAACCTGGTGCTGCTGCCGCGGGTCAGGGATGACATCGCTGAGTACAAGCGCCTCAATTTTCACCTCTACATGGCTTTGAAGAAGGCTCTGTTCAAGCCGGCAGCCTGGTTCAAAGGTAGGGGCTCCCTGCAGGGCTGCCGTTCGTCCCTGGGAGCCTCTCGCCATCTGGGGGGCTCAGCAGGGGCACGTGTTGCCCACCACTGCCCAGCGTGACGGCACACTGTGCCCTGCGTGGTGTGGCCCTGGGGGCTCAGTGGGGAGGAGGAGACGTGAAAGAGATGCAGGGACTCCGCCTCGGTGGACGAGGCAGCTTCCAAAGCCCCAGGGGCCCATTTGTGGCATTCGGGGTGGAAGGGTGATGCGTGCCGTAGGCTTACGCAGGTGCTGCCAGCGAGTGCTGGCAGGTATTTGGGTTCTTTTGGAGGTTGATGGCAGGTTACGAACTGTCTCGGGTCTGATCTCGGTCTCGTCTGGCAACCTGAGGGTGTTTGGGGCTCGTTGCGTGGCAGGGAGATGCTGCGACCCCTGTAACGGCAGCTGGTGGAGGAGCTGTTATTTCCTGGGGTCAGATGTGTCCTGGGATAGAAGGGGCTGAGCCCCGTGTCCCGCGGCTCTGCCTGCTGCGATTTAAGACAGGCGGTGCCTGACTCTTCCCCCTCCGCAGGGATCCTTATCCCCCTGTGCGAGTCGGGGACCTGCACGCTGCGGGAGGCCATCATCATCGGCAGCATCCTCACCAAGTGCTCCATCCCCGTCCTCCACTCCAGGTAACGTGCTGGGAAGCTGTGGCGGGGAGAGGTTCTCCTTTAGGGACACCGGTGCAACGCCTCGGATCTGTCCCTCAGCCTCTCCGGCACCTCCGAGGTGGGGGGGTTCGCTCAGCTCCCTCCGGGGTTGAGATTCAGGGCTCAGCACTGGGTTTGTCATCTTTCTGTCTGGGTGCCTGCCGCCCCGTGGCTCCCGCCTGCCCTGCCCTCACCTCGCTGCTCCCTCCCTCCCCGCAGCGCGGCCATGCTGAAGATCGCCGAGATGCAGTACAGCGGCGCCAACAGCATCTTCCTCCGGCTGCTCATCGACAAGAAGTACGCCCTGCCCTTCCGCGTGGTGGATGCCCTCGTCTTCCACTTCCTGGCCTTCCGCACGGACCAGCGGGTCCTGCCCGTGCTGTGGCACCAGAGTTTCCTGGCCTTCGCCCAGCGCTACAAGGAGGACCTCTCCTCGGAGCAGAAGGAGGCTTTGCTCGAGCTGCTCAAGTTCCACAGCCATCCGCAGATCTCACCGGAGATCCGGAGGGAGCTGGCAAACTCCAAGACGCGGGATGTGGAGGGGCAGCAGCCCGTGGCCATGGAGTGAGCAGGGAGAGGCAGGGAAGAGCAGCAGCCCGCCCTGCTCCTGGGACGCTGCTGGATGCAGTTGGGAGCCCGGTGCGTGAGCGGAGCCGTGTGGGAGCATCCGTCCTGGGATCCTGCTGCTCCGAGCGGGCGCCGGGGGCAGGCTGTGTCCGTAGAGCTGGACCGTGCTCCCTGCGCTGCTCGTCACGGGGCAGGGCAGCCCCTGTCCCACCGGGGAACCCGGTGCCACCAGCACCCGGGAGGGTTTGGCCTGTTCCTGTGTTGGAAAATAAAACCCAAGGCGTGTCTGTCAGTCAGGGGCAGTTCTGCCCCACCGCTGCACCTCTCTGGGGTCGCATCCCTGCGCCGTCCTACTCTTGTCCCCGCCCCACCTTGTCCTGTCCCCAGCAGGTGGCAGAGCAAAGCCACCGGCCCCGGGGTTCTCGCAGAGCTGCAGATCGAGTCTGTGCTGCCGGTGCTGGTCCCCCCCCAACCGCAAAGGGAGGAGGGACCCCTGTGCAACCCCTCGTCCCTCCCTGCGCTCTGCCCTGAGCAGCCCCTGTGCGGTGGGGCAAAGGGGGGGCAGGCGGGGGGACAGGGCTGGGCCCCCCAGGCTGTTCCCAGAGCCAAAAAACTGCTCTTGGGGCAGGGGGGGGAAATGCTCCTGTAGGTCCTTGAGGGTTTCCCGAGGGCTTGGTTGTCACCAGGCAGGAGCGGGCTGCGGAGCTGCTGCTGGCCGGCAGCAGGGCCTGAGCCGGGACACCACGGGGAGCGTGTGTGTGGGCGGAGGCGAGGGCAAGAGCAGCCCAGCAGTGCTGGAAGCCTTCCCCACCACCCCCCTGCCTCCAAAATGCCTGCCATCCCCCTTCCCCAGGGATTTTCCCGAAACGCTCCCTTCCCCAGCTGCCCCTCGGGGTGTACCTCTACTCAGCAAGGCTGGTGAAGCCCCGGCACCGCTGTCCTCGCTGGGCCATCGAGGCCACGTGCCTGGCCTGCTCGCGGCAACCCGCCCACGCACACGTGGCACCTCCGCTGGAAAACCCAGTGGGGGCTTTTCCTCCCGTGTCCCACGAGGCGCCGCGCTTACCCGGGGGAAATTGCTGACGGTGACGCTGCGACGCCGCAAGGTTTGCGCGTGCAAGTACCTGGCCTGGCCCCCGAAACCAGCGCAAAGTCCTGCTGGTGCAGCCCGTGGAGAAAAGCCGCTGCAGCTTCCCACGGCAGCAGGTTGCGCTGAGGACGGCTGCCTCCCGCCTTTGCTTCTCTGGAGGGTTGGCACCTTTTCCCGTGACGGCAGCGGGAGCAGAAGCCACGTGAAGCAGAGCAGCACGTGAAGCCCGGCCGCCCGGGCTGGTTGCGCGCCGCAGCGCCTTTTCCTTGGCTTCCTGATTTTTATCTCCTTTCTTTAAAGAAGCCAGAAGCTGATGAACGCGAGAGATTGCGCCGTGCGAGCCCGGGCTTCCAGCACGCTCTCGCCACCCTGCAGCACCGCCCGAGCTGCTGCAGCGCCCATCGGCGAGAGGGAGGCTTCAAAGCTGCCGGGGGCGTGAAGTCGCTGCCTGCTCTGCGGGCAGGCACCTTGCCTGCAGGAAGGCGTTCGGTTCCACGTTCGTCCACCGCCATCCGCGAGCCGCCCCGGGGCCTCGGCGGGTGCAACGCGTCCCTCGGCCGCTGCAGCATCTCCCCTCCACCTCTCCACCGGGTTGGAGCTGGCTGGGGGGCGTCCTGCCTGCCCGCTCCCCATTTCATCCTGCTCTTGCGGCCCCGGGGAAACGCAGGGCTGGAGCCTCCGGGAGCTGCCCGAGGGGATCCTCCAGCTGACGGGGGTCCCACCCCAGAGCGATTTGGGGCAGAGGCAGGAGCCCTGTGAGGGAAGAAGAGGCCGAGGTCTTCCCTGGGCGGCCCAAGGCACAGCACGGAGCGCAAAGGGAAACTCTCGAGGCGTTCATACTTGTTTAAAATACTTTATTGCAACATCATACGGTCTTCTGATTCTCCCAGCAGCGGGACTCTTCGGTGTGAAAACCAAACCAGTTTACTCTTAAATTAAAACTCATTTATATATATAAAAAAATTTTGTACGGACAAGCTCTGTGTGCCCCCCAGCCCTCCTGCTAGCAGGAGGCAGCGGCAGACGGCTCTTCTTGACAAATCAGGCTAGTGGACGAACAGCAGCCCCATCTTTTTCCACCTGATAAGACTTTTGTTTCTAGTGGCATCCAAAAAGGAAGACTTCTACCTCCTTTTCCACGTCCCCCACGGGAGGACAACAGCCACAGATCCACACGTCCAGAGGTCACCAAGCAGCAACAGTCTGCCTCCCATCCCCGCAGAGTCTCTCTGGCTTCTCTCGGTTAATACAATTCTACTATTTAATGATTCTCTCTTAGAAAAGCAGCATTATTTTTTTTTCTTTAAAACACTTTTTATAAAAACTAACAGACGGGACCAACGACAACAATACAAAAATGCAATAATTGCTTTTCAACTCAAGTGCACAGCGAATTTTCCACCCGAGAAGGATACAGCTCGGACCCACATGGATATAGGTGCAACGCAGCCCTTTCCCGAATGCGATCCCAGATCTCTGCCTTGGAGGAGTGAAGACGCATTCCAGACTATAGCAGCACATTCAAATGTATTTCTTAAAACCTAGTCTGATGTCTGAGCTACCTAAAAAAAAAAACCTGATCAGCTTCCAAGTGAGACTCATTGCCCGGGGAGCTAGGGAAGGGGGCGAAGGATGAAGGCACTCTTTCGGAAGGAGAGGAGACCAGCGTCCAGGCCCCACACCAAGGAACTGCAACGTCTTCCTCCCTCCTCATTCCCAGCAGTTAACAATAAATTAAGCAGCCTCAGTGGGGCAGCGGAAAGCCAAGGGGATTGCGCCCAAACCTCGCCCAGGAGGCTGCTCCCCGAGGCGGCGACTTCTTCTGCTGTCCACGCAGACGGGGACCGCGTCCCCCAAGCAAGCCGAAAACCCGCAAATCCCAAATCTAACGGCAACAAGAAACAAGCCACACGTTTCCCCTCCAAGCAGAAGCAGCCACGCCACCCCCCCCAGGAGCCACAGCAATCTGGCACGAAGCAATTGGGACCAAGGGGCCAACAAGCACCTGCTCCCTCCTCCCGGACACTCGGTTCTCTCTTGTGAGCCGCGGCGGGCCCGTAGCACCCCAGCCCGGGGAGGGAGGTTTGTGAGAGGTTATATTTTGGTCACGTAGGTCAGGGTAAGAGGCTCACTATCCATGATTGATGGCCCACGCAGGGCTGGAAGGCATCACGGTGAACACCCCGCGAGGAGACAGCGAACAGCGGCCAGCCAGGCTACGAGGAACACGAACTGAGAAACATTTTACAACTTCATTTTGGGTCCTGCTCCCCCTCCCCAGCAATTCTTGTGCCCTGCCACCACAAAAACGGTCGCTTCACCCCGGCCACCTGCAGAAGCTGACGAGCAGTGTCGAGCTCCGCCAGCCCGGCTGCCCGCTCCGACAGATGAGCGCGGATCCTGCTCTGCACTGCCAGCGAGCAGAACAAATCCTCAGCAGGCGTCAGATGGAGGGGGCTGACGGACGGGTAGGTGGGATGCAGCGACCTTTCGGTGTCCAGGGCGAGGTCCTGCCGCGGCGGGGCCGGGCGGCCCTCGGGAAGGGGAGGCTGGTCACAGGTTGATGTCCGTGACGTCTGTAGGCGTGCTGGTGGGCTGGCTGGCCAGGTAAGCAGCAGTCTTGGCGGTGCTGTATTCCTGTTGGGTTTGGGACGCCTGTTTCAGGCTCTCGGCTAAGGCTGCCTCAATCTGCTCCTGACAGGCTTTCAGGCAGTCCTGCGGGAGAGGGAGCGAGACAAGAGGCCTCACTTCTCTGCTGCTCAGAGGTGGGAGCCTTACAAATAGCTCTGAGCAGCTGCTGGGCTACGCCTCTGGCCCCTGGAGCATTTAAACACACAAGACCAAGAAGCTTTTCTCTGACAAGGGACGTCTCCCAGCTTGTCTGTGCTTTAGGCCCCTCCCCAGGAGAAGCCCCACGCTCTGGTTGTCTTCTCCCCACCTCCCTGCTTGGCCGCGTTCTCGAGGAATAGACGTTGCGCCCATCAGAGCTTCCCAAAGCATCTGGGCTCGTGCCCGACTGCAGCGTGTGATTTCAGCATCACGGCAGTCAGCTGCTGCCGCCGACCAAGAGGGCAGAGCAGAGCAACTCTGCGCAGGCTGGTACCAACCTTTACAACCGAAGCTTCCCAGATTGACGAGCGACGGCCGGCGTGCAGCACCACGGGTGCACACAGGGACCTTGGTAGATCCACCTGCCTCCCCCAGGCCCTACATCCCGGGTCTCCCGGAGCTCGGCATGGTCCTGCATCTCTGCGGTCACCCACCCGCTGCAGAGAAGCTGCGCGCAGCTCTGCCTCCTCCTGTCCCTGCCCACGTCCGAGCCAGGACAAGGCAAATCCCTGCTGGATGCCCTGGCTGATGCACACTGCGTCACTTTGGGGGTCTCGAAGGCAGCCGGACCCCGACCTTCTCAGACCCGACAGCTGCCCCAGCCACGTATTCCCTACAACACTACGCGCCATCGATGCTGGGTCGTCATGAGAATGATGCTGCGGCCACGTAGCTTCTCACAAGGCTTTTACCCTCCTGCTCTCCCCCCGGGGAGCCCCGCGTGACTCACCCGCACCTCCCCGGGGCCCAGGGAACCCAGTGCTGGGGGACACACCAGCCCCACGAACAGGAAGGCGCAGGGGACTGCGAGCAGCGGCATATCACTTGTAACAAAAGCAAACCCCGCTCCGTTTTCTCCCCACACAAGCTGTAAACCAGAGGAGGAAACTCCTCCACTTCGACACCAGAGCACCATGACGCACCGAGAGCCGCGGGAGGCATCGCCAACGGGCGCACCCCAGCCCGGCTCCTACACCGCATCTCGGCTCTCACCGAGGGGTCGGAGATAGCATTTCGCACCTCGCGGCCGGAGCCGAGCTGGACGCCGCGGGGCCGCATGCGCTCGCTGGATATTGTCACAGACCGAAATCTCTTACCAGGAATCCGCCATCAGTTCTTAGAAACTGACAGAGGATGTGGCGAGCGAAAATAGCAACGCCCACCTCTCCTTCCCCACACTGCTTCCCGTCAGCGCAGCCTCCAGCCCGCCTGCCCGCAGCCCCGGGGCGAGCTCGCTGCGGGGCCTCGCGCCACGGCCAGCCCGTCCCCGGGCTCTCCGCAACCAGGCTCTCCGTCGGCAATTTCGGCAGAGGTGCTAAAAGCTGGCTTGGCCACAGGCAGCCAGACTCCTTCGCCGGCTGGCGAAGCCTCGGGAGCTGCCCGGGGGACAGCTCGGCTTGCCCCAGCCTGCGTGCCCCCTACTCTGCAGGGCAGCCGTGCCGTGGGGCTCTGGCTCAGACACCCACTATGGGCTGGTCCTGCTCCGCGAGGGATGAGGACTGATCCAGAGCGGCTCCAAGTTGCGCGGCAGTGCAGCTCCTGCCAGCTACAGAGCCGGCACAGCCCCGCACCATCGTCCCCCTCCGTCCCTGCGGACTTCCCCGCACCCCCAGCACTGCCCGGCTGAGCCTTGGCAGCTGCAGGAAGGGGATCGCTCCTCCAGTGCTGAGCCAAAGTGGAAACTGAGTCACAGCCCAGAGATACTGTGAGGCCAGGTTCAGGGAGAAGCATCAACACCACAAACACGGGTGGCCGAGACCGGGTGCTTCCCCCGGGAGCCCTGCAATACTGCGGACGCATCCCCAGGGCTTCCTTCTGCTACAGGAACCGCCAGGGTCCTGCCTGGGCCGGGGCTGTTTGTGCAGCACCTCGCACCCGGGCGGGCTGTGGGGCAGAACAGATGCCCTCTCTGGGCTGAGGAGGGAGAGGAGCGGGCTGGAGGGTAGCAGAGGTGTGCTGGGCTCCATTTCGGCTCCCCTCCCTCGGCGGTGTCCTCCCTGCTTCCCACCTGTTCCCTCCACCAGCCCCAACCCACAGCAGGTTTCAGTCCCTGCCCCATTCACTGCAGCAGCTTGAGAGCAGCTGGCTGCACTGATTCACTCTTTAAAAAGGCTCCGGCTAACAAAAAAACATTAAAGCTGCACAAATAGATCAGGACGCCCTCCTGCCCCGTCCCCTCCCTGCCTGGACAAAGCCTGGTCGCAGCCTCCCACCCGCCGTGGCACCGGCACCTCTTCCAATTCCCGGCGCTGCTGTCAGGGGACTGTAACTAACCCCGCACCCGGCTGCCGGCATTAAGCGCTCGGGCAGAAGAAAAGATCAAAAGGGGCCCCCGGCAGAAGAAAGGCTCCCGATTGCTTCACTGCAGCAGGAGGGACCCAGAAATGGGGAGCCCGACAGGGTCCCCCTTCCCAATTCGAAGGGCAGTGGAGGGGCAGGCAGACGCCCCCCCACCATCCCGACGTCCCCAGCAAAGCCGCTGTGCCAGCATCCTGAAACGCTTTGTGCCCCCGACCCCCTTCCCACCGGAGCCTGGGCACCTGCAACCAGACACCGGCAGAGGTTAGCAGATGCCGAGCCCGGCTTCTCCCTCTGCCCCATCCCACCCTGTCAACCCGATCCCACCAACACCTGCCCGCGCAGGGAACAGACGCTCCCCTTTGTGCTGCTTTTCAAAGGCTCCCGAGCTCGCCCCGCTCTGCGTTGGCAGCGCTCGGAGGCCAGGAGCCGACTACGGCCACGGGACTGACCAAGGGTGCTGCGTTTAGAGATGCTCACTCATCTCTAGGCACTCCTCAAACCAAGGTCAGCATCGTTACGAACAGCCTAATTTCCTCTCCCTCTAAGAAGAACGAGCAGCAGAAAGAGGAAGGGTTTCCACCAGATCCAGCAGCAAAACCGCTTTGCTCTTCCCCCGTGAACACTCACCACCTCCGTGCCAGTGATGCTGGCCAGCAGCTCGGTGATCGCCTCGCCGGTGAAATCGTTCACGGAGACCGTCAGGCCGTGGATCGCCGCTCCGATACTGCCCGTCGCAATCATGGAGGGGGGGTACAAGGCAAAAGTGTAGTCTAGAGCCAGGACAGGGACACAAGGGGCAAAAAGAAGGAGCCGTTAGCAAGGATGCGCATGGTAAGTTCTTGGGACTGCGATTTCCCTGGAAGACTAGAGAGGGCCAGGCAGAGGGGTCTCTCCAGCTTAGTGGGGAGAAACGGGGGTGAAGCGACAGGAAACAGGCTGAGCATCAGAGCAGCAAGCTTCATTAAGCTATTTCTCTGGGCCTGTCTCGCCAATAGAAGTTCTGAAGGCGAGGTTGCTCTAGTGACTTAGAGCGAGGCTGATAAAAGCTCAGATTCAACCCTGCCTTTACCCTGGTCCCCCTCCTGCAGTCGCAGCCTGCGCAGCAGGGGGGGTGGCACGGCGGCTTTGCTCTTTCCCAGCATCTTCCAGGCACCCACTAAGAGCCCCCGTGGGTGAGTTATCCCCCATAAGAGGACCGTTATCCCGCTTTGTCAGGGATAGAAAACACGTCACGGAGCATCTTCCAGGCACCCACTAAGAGCCCCCAGGACCGTTATCCCACTTTGTCAGGGATAGAAAACATGTCACGGGGCAGCAAAACGCTCTGATTTGAATGAAGGCAAGCATTCAGCTCCCCAGAAAGCCAGGGCGTTAGAGACCAGCCCCAGGTTACCCAGCAAGCCTGACTCGAGCCCAGGCTATCCCACCTGCAGTGGCCAGCCCACCCTCCCCAGCATCCTGGCGGGTGGCTCCAGCGGGAGCAGGCACCCACCTGTGGCACACAGGGCGATAAAGGTCTGTGCGTGTTTCTTCACCAGCTCCATCTTGTCCTTATGCAGCGGGAGGTGATGGAGGATGTGAGCCAAGAAATCATTCGCTATCACTGAGACCAGGTCCCACTTTAGCTTATCCAGGACTAGAACCTCCCAATCCTGCAGAGTCAGACAGTCAGCACGTTATTCAGTGGGGCCAGGCCAGGCAGAAACACTCACCAGATTCAAGGGCAGATAAGGCCAGTGCTTGGGGAAGGGCCAGTAAAACAGTACAATCCATGAGACAGGGAAGAAAAAAAGAGGGATCGTCCCTGCTCTGCAACTATGGCACAAATCCAACCTTGAGCTGTTGCAAAGCCTGGAGTAAAGATCAGAAGAGGAAGCGATAAATCTGGTTTCTTCTTTCCAAGGCGCAGTCGGATTAGCCTTCGACACTTTGCAAGGTTGCTGCAACAGCCCACATAGGAAAACCAGAGCAAGGAGCAGTAGGCACACCATTCCCATATTCATTCCCCACTCCCGAAAGGAGAGGCTGATGTCCAGGCTCCCAGGAGCAATCCAGCTTGGGGCTAACACCATACGGCAAAGGGAACACGGAAGCTCACCTCTCCGTGTGCCCCTTGGAGCCGGCCAGTGCGCTGACTCCCTCCTAGAGCGGCTCCTTGGCCGCTGAGCCGCAGGAGGCAATAGCTGCTCTGCAGCCAGCGCCTGTGTGCACAACACGTCGAAGCAAGGGAAGGTGGGGGAAACACAGCTGAGCTTTCAGGGCTGCATCCAGACAGCCCAAGCTCCTGTATGAGATCTTCAGTCCCTGCAGAGCTCTGGGGCTGCGACTAGGTGCTGAGGTCTTCAGCCCAACAAGCACCGGGCACGCAGCCCTACAGAGGAGGTCCCAGGCTGGGCAGGAGTACATTGGCAGAACCTCCCCTACTCATCATGCCTCTCTTCTGCCAAGAGAGCCTCCAGCCATGCTCAACAGAGCATCCCCAGCAGCTTCTCGCGGGGGGAAGGAGGCACTAAACAGCCATGCTAACGCCCACCTCTCCCACTGACATACAAGCAACGGCTCACCGGTGCTTCCCAGGTACACGCCAGGCGGCTGCTGATGCCTCCGTCCCATGTTGTGGTGCTCTCTCTAAGCATCTAACAGAGATTTCTGCAGTATCGTCCCCGAGCCAGTCTCTGTGCAATCTGCAAGCTGGGGAACAGATGGCAGGAAGGCCGGGTGCCACCCGCGGATTTCAGCTGGAGCCCGGGCTGCTCCTCTTGTCTGCTCAGCCTCTCGCAGGCTCTTCCAACTCTGGGCGTTAGTCCTAACACCGACGAGGAAACCAAAGTGCAGAGCAGCCACGGGCCAGCACTTGGCAAGGTCTACATGACTTAGCTAGAGTAGCAGTTGAATCAAACTCAGGGGCCACACACGTACTGGTCTCACTGGGCTGGGCGGCTTTGATGTTACGTCTGGGGACGGCCGTGCCACCGACAGAGCAGTCTCAGGAGAGGCGAGAGCGGCGTCTTCCCAGGATCGTTTCCCTTCCCATCCCAGCAGGAATGTCACGGGCGGCCCACACCCAGCCGCCCGAGCTTCTCTGCCGGTCCCAATTCCCCCACGTCCCGAGCCACAGTGAAGGTCTCTGGCCTCCAATTTCTCTCATCCTCTGGATCAGCAGCAAACCTGGTTTTGGCAACAGGCTCCAGGTATGCCAGAAAGGCCACAGAAGATGCCCCCACGTCCCTCCTCCCTGCTAGCGGCGGCGGGGGGGACAGTGGCCCTGAAGATGTGCTGGGAAAGGAAAACACCCTGCAGCAGGAGCTGAAGCTCCAGGTTTGGAAGGACAGAGCTGAATTGGGATTTGTATCAGACATCTCCATTTCAGGGCCTAGTCCTACCCAGCAGAGTATCTATTCTTTTTCCAAGTAGTCTGGGATTACAAGGTCAATGCTGCCCACAGATGTGCCAAAGGGCTGCCAGAACAGATGGATTTGAAGAAGTGAGATTTTTCATAAGGGCAGATCTTCATTTTCTCTTTTTTTTTTTTTTAAACCCACTCTTTCCCCTTACACAACAATACCAGTTTTGAGTTGCTTAAATGAGCAGCATTGCTCAACCTGCTCCAAATCCCCCATGAGGCCAAACGCGCCGTTTGCCATTTCACAGCCTGCACTTTTCCAACCAGAAAGCGGTGCTTTGCTAGCACACGCTCGCTAGTCTCCCATATGGATGGCCAGCCGGCTAGTCTTTCTGTATTTTTAAGCCAAATCCACGGGACAAAAGCAAGAAGAAACTTAGCAATGAGCTCCAGAGCCTGAGGATCGCAGCACAGGTCACCGAGGGTGCTTGGTTCAAGGGGGGGATTGGAACAGAGGGGAGAGATCAGGCTTGGGTAAAAGAAGAACCACCAGGTAGTGCTGGCCGCTGGTTAAACTGCGGAAACACGGCAAGGTGACACAAGGAAAGAGCCGCCGGAGATGGAGAGCTCTGTGCCTCGTCCCTACCTGTCGCTCATCTGGAACCCACCAAGGGCAGCAGGTTGGGAAAGACGGCTGCTTGCTCGTGCATGAGCCCATTTTCTTGGGAAGGGGCACAGGACGCCGCTGACGCCTTCGGCAGTCACTGCCCCGAGGGCGAGAGGCCGAGGCAGCTCCCACCTGACTCCTCCACGTGGGCTGGGAGCATGGTCCTTTTGCAGACCCAGGGAGAAGGTCAAAAGGAGGACCTGGAGATCGCTGCTCGCGAAGCAAACCCAAAAGGGATCACTACACCTGAGAGGGGAGCTCCCGAGCACAGAGGGGACACCAGCCCAGCATCATCAGGGCTCTTGCTCCTTGCCTTTCTTCCCAGAGCTGCAAGCCAGCTGCTGGGAGTCACCAGAGGCACATGATGCCCACACTGGTACGGCAGAGAGCCTGTCCCTGTTGGGACACATTTTGTCCTAAGAAGATCCAGGGTGCAAGTCAGCTCAGCTGTGAGACCTCACCTGGGACAAGCTGGCTCCTGCCACACCAGGACTGATCCAGGACAACAGCCCGTCCGTTTGCAATGCACAAAAGCAGCTCTTTTCCAGCTACTACAGAGGTTCATCGTCGTCTTAAAAAAACCTCGTTGTTACAAAAGGCCTGATCCCGAGACCCAGCCGGCACTCGAGATGCCAGCTGAAGGCGACAGGCGCCAAGGACTGTCACCAACTCACAGGATTTAGCTCAGGGAAGCGTCTCTCCTGCCAAACCACCCTGCTCCTCGCTTCTCTCCTGCTAACCCTGGGGACTTCCCGCTCTCAGAGCAGCATGTCAGAATCTCTGAATCACTTTATCTGTGGAAGAAGCAGAACAAAAGGCTGCAAGAGATAGGCAAGCAGGTTTGTGACAACAGCACCACTCAGTATAGCAAACATCCTTTTCCTGGCATTTTGTTTTGCACCTAATTGAATCAGTCTCTGCCTGGCTAATGAAAGAGAGGAAGAAAGTGGAAAATGTTCCTTTGTTTCTCCGGCCTGCGGAGCCCACCCTCCTCATGGAAGGGCTGCAAGCTGCCAGCGCTGCCCACCGAGCATCCCATCGCTGGGAAGGCATCAGGCCCCCCTTTTGCAAGATCCCCCAGGGCAGAGCTCCCCATGCCTGGCCGGCGTCTCTAGGGGTGGAAATTGCACAGCAGCTGAGCTTCCCCTCTGCTGCAAGCTTGCTCCCTTGATCTGGCTGCGTCCCACAAGAAAGAAAAAAAAAAAACAAACAAAAAACAAGGAAGGAGAACAGCTACCGTCTCCCATTGCCCCCCCTCCTCTGACAAGGTGATCTCAGAGCACAGTCCTGTTGCAGCGAAACAGCCTCAAGCCCCTGGTTGCTGCCTCTGCACCCTCTAAGACAGACCCAGTCACAAGCAGAGGCTGTTTTACTCAATTTACAGCTCTGCAAATGCGGACTGGGATGTGACAGTCACACCAGCTTCTTTCCTTTTCATGTAGTGACAGTCACTCTGTACATCAAGCTCTACCCTCAGCAACACCCACACACCCGCTATGCCTACACGGAGTCTGTGTAAACCTATCTGGCGAGGCTGCACAAGGAGCAGAGCGCCCAGCTCCTCTCTGCAGCAGCCCTGCCTGCAGGAGAGAAGGAAGTTGCACTCGATTTTGTCACTCAAGTTGATAAGGTACCATTTTACATTATCACAGACCTGATGAGACACCAGCGAAGCGGGAGCAGGCTGCACTCCGTTGTGCTCGCGAGCTGACTCAAAAAGAGGGTGGAAAGAGCTGCTGATGTTGCTGCTGGCCACCCACCCTACCCAGCAGCTGAGACACAGCTACAGAAATGAGCAGCCATGAAAGTCCATTTGCAAATAGGAAATCTGGGGCAAATGTTTGTTTCCATCCCCTGACCAGAGTGCAAGACTGGATGTCAAGGGTAAAGGTGCCAACTTCAGATGCAGAAACGGTCACATCTGTCCGACCCATGCAACGAGCAGAAGGTAAAACACTAAAACCCAAGCATGCCTTCTGGAAAGTCAACGCTCTATCACAAGTGAACATCCCTTTCTACTCAGCTGTTCTCTCTTTCTTTTATTTTCACTCCTCATGGCCTGCTGTCACTGCTGCTCCCTTCATTACCCACCTAGTGGCTTGGTCCTGCTCATGGTCTTTGCTAGGTAATACCTGGCAGTTTGCAAAACTGACCTTAGGTCAAAGATTTCAGAGGCAAGCCAATGTATTAGGAGCAAACCAGGCAGATGAAGGTGACCTACAGCTGCTCTCCCCAACCTTCAAGCAGCTGAATACCCTCCTGCACAGGCCAGAAAAGCCTTTATTTAAAAAAAAACAAAACAACCAAAAAAATTAAAAGAAAGGTAGGTTAGATAACACCCTTGACGGAAATCCAACTTCCTCCAAATGGACAAGTCCCTCGTTGCATCATTTCCTTCTCCCTAGAATAACTTCATCAAGATTTTGTTTCAAATGTGTCCTTTCTAAACCGCTGAGCTGGTGCCAAGCATCCCGGCAAGAGAAGGAAGCAAACCTACTGGGAAAGTGAGCCAGCTTCCTCCAAAAGGCCGGGGAGGACACGCTGGAAGCCGAAATGGCACCGATCCATGAGAAGAGGCCAGGATGCACCATTGTCCAAACCTTGATGAAGAAGCTCCCCTTTCCCTCCCCACCCTCTTGCACTGCAAGATTGTGAAAGACAAGTAACATTACCACGATTAGCACAGAGGAAAACAGCAGCTCGCCCTGGTTTTGTAATCAGGGTATTAACTCTTGTCAGGTCCCAAAGCGGAGACAAATCCTTCACGTATCTTCAGATGTTACCTCCACTCCCTCTTTACGGCGGAGAGCAACGGGAGACTGGAGCAGGATCTGCGCCAAACAGGGTTAAACATCTACCGAAAGCGAGCCTTGTGCCGGGCAGGGAAAGATGACCACCAGATCACGGGCTACAGAGCATCTCCGGCCCAGACATCTGCAAATGCCTCAGCACCTCTCCTTGAGGGCTGTGGCTGGTTTGTGATGCCTTCTGCTCAGCCCTTTGGCTAGCACCGACCACCAGGAACGAACCCCTGCCCTGCTGAGTGCTCACGGCCATCCCCTTGGGGAAAGAGAAAAGGGATCCTATTTGCCCGAAAAAGCCACCTTTGGCTATCCCGAGAAAGGACTTTTGACCCCCCCCAATGAAGCCATCCCTGTCCACCTCATCTGCGTATTGATTCCAGAGCACAACGATGAAAGAGATCCGTGCCAACCATCCGGCTGTGCCTCCTGTTGCACTGAGAGCACCCCAGGATCCTGGTGGGCAAAAAGTACAGGGAAGGAGAACTCCAATACCGCGACCTGCACAATCAGAAGTGAGCAACAGGCGGCAGACAGCACTTTCCTCCTTCATCTCCACCCCAGTGCTGCCAAGAGGAGGGAGAAGGGAAGGTTAACACTGTGGCACTGCTTAGCCACAGCTTCCTGCTGACAAACCTCGGGGGGGAAGAAATAAAAAAAGACTGAGTGAGGAGGCATTAGCATTTGAGTGTGAGAGTGAAGGAAAGCCTCCAGGGATGGTGCACATGCTCTGCCCGCTGCCCACCTGCACATCTCCTAACTGCTCTCCTTTGGAAGGAGCCTACAAACACAGCTCAAGATTCAGCTGAAAAAAGCAAATCCTTACCAAGAATAAATCACCAAATAAATCAGAATGAAATACAACTGGGATCCATGGGACATACGCACCAGGTGCCCACCAAGACCAATTCCTTGTAGCCCAAGGTCCACGCTGCAGAAATCACTAGCATTTGCTGTGACGATCTCCCCTAGCCTGCAGGGATGATGATAGGACTCCCTGTAAAGCCTGGATCAGAGAGGGAGATAGAGGTGAAGCACGGCGGTAAGTTCACCTTCCTGCAACCCATATTCCTGTCGGACCGAGAGCTTATCCATCGCTCTGAAGGGACAGAAATCAGACACTGGCCCAAAACATGCATTTTGATCAGCTTCAGGCTCCTGAGGGCATGGAGAGCACTGTCCATGCTTTGAAATGCAGCCTGCTTGCCTACAAGAAGGCTGCTAGGCACCTTCTGCTCAGCTTGTTGCCTCTGCAACAAACAGAAGCGACTTTTGCTGGCCCAGCAGAAAAGTGAATGCAAACCCACTCCCATTCCCCCTGCCTTTTTTCCCAGCTAAATGTTAACCCCCTCATTATCGCAGGGCCAAGGGGAACCCTCCCGTTACAGGCTGGGATTAGCTTCATGTGATGGATCCCCGTCCTGGGAAGATACCCACGCAGAATCCATCGCTGGATGAGAAGGTGCTCTCAAGGATGAAGCTTTACTGACAAAGCAGGAGAAAGCCTTTGCACACAGAGATTTTGTGGCAGCCCCCCGCAGCAGGATGCCGCAGCACGGCCACAGCTCAGCATCCAGGGAAGCAAGAAGCACTTGTGTCTCCTCTGCGCATTCCCATCCCTCATCACTATTCACGGTAATGATCCACATACTTTTTTCCATGAATGCTACTTAAGGCAACAACCACCCACAAATGACTACAGGGAGAGAGGTATGGAGGTGAGGGGATTTTCCCCAGCCTTCACCGGCACTTGGAAAAAACCATGTTCATGCTAGAGTTCCTCAGTTACCAGAACCGCCTTCCGATTCACACCTGAAAGTTTTGTGGGTTCACTCCCCACCCTGGGGACAAATCACACTCAGATCATCTCACCCACCCCAGCCCAAAAAAATAGATAGTTAATAAGGCGATGACTAACCCCGAGAAACTCTCATAGGCAAACGGTCTCCAAGGATGTTTGTTACTCGAAGCGAGGTGGCTGTTTCCTCCCGAGGGCTCTGATCTACCAGCACGGAAGGCCCCCAAGAAAAGGGGTTCTCCAATTTCCTCCCCCGTTGGCGAAGCTGAACTCAGAGGTTTGGATCTTTGCTTTGAACTTCTCTCAGATGAGAAAACGCTTTGCCTTTCAAAGCCTACACCGCTTCTGCCCGAGTGTACGATGGGGAAAGGCAAAGTAGTCCTGCTTTAACTCAAGGGCGCGGAGCAGGACCTGGGCAGCAGCAAGGTCGCACTCATTTCCATCACCTTGGCAGCCCTGTCAGCCCCGACGGTCCAACCCAGCCAGCTGGATCCCAGGTCAGAAAAGCTCCCACCCGTTTTGCTGGTTAACTCTCCGCTTAAAGCTTCGTTTTTCCTACTGGTGTGGAAATGCATCTCCCACGTCATGCCCCTTTGCAGCCGGGGCAAGTCAGAGCTGCACGCCCCAACGGCAGCCCCCGCCTCGTGCCCCGCTGGCTGCGCAGACAGGAGCCTTTGTTCTCCAGAGCTGTCACTCGAGAGCGAACCAGCGCCTGGGAGCGAGCTCAGCGTGGCAGCTCCGCGCTGGCAACGAGCTCTTAAGGCACAAGGAACTTCCTCTGTAACCTGGAGGTGACAAGGCTGCTTCCCACAGCAGGGAGCGAGTGTCTGCCCAGGATGGAAAGGTCTTCACCGACAGACATCACACCCACGAGGGCAAAGAGGTGAGATGGTTGGTTGGGGAACGCAGAGGAAGGTGAAGAAATGGAAGAAAGAGAACAGGAGGAGACACAGAGGCAGGTAGGCTGCCAAGTAGCAGGATGCGGGAGATAAGAGAGCTGGGGAGGAGGTAGAGAGCTCTTTGAGATAGGGGTGGTTACCAGGAGCTGCTGAGGCGTGATGGAGTTGTCTGTGTAAATGCAGAGTTTCTCCACGGTCAGGGGCATAGTTTCTCGCAGCTTGGAAGCCAGGAGCATGCAGACCGCTCCCAGAAGCTGCAAGTGATTTTTCCGCATGGGGACTGACGACAGGTAGCGATCCACGTAATTCATGGCCAAGGGGAAGACCTCTTCTTCGCACTTCTGCTCCTCGCACACCTGACAAAACCCAACGACAAAAATAAAAAAATAAAAGGAAGTTTTAATCAGCACAGGACTCCCCAGATCCTGCCTGCACCGCAGCTTCAAAGCTTCTGGTCGTGATGGTGTTTCACACTTATCTGCAGGGCTTTGAAGGCACCTCGGTGCTAAGGAGTAAATTAGCTACAGGCGTTAAGCCTACGACTTCGGTGGGATTACACCAGCAACAAGTTTGACCGATGCCTTAAGACTTCATCTTCCTGTGGAAAGCTGCAGAACTTATTTGTGCACTCTTTCTCGCTACATATAAGTTAAGACCAAAATCGCTTTATTTGGCCCCTTTTTTAATGTCCCCTGTTGGGGACGTCTCCAGCCAGCTGTACAGCAAAGCTGCCATTTTCTGCTCTGTGGGGACTGGGAACCTCTAGAGAAAATGAGCAGTTCCAGCATATCTCCAGCTGGAGACCTAACGGTGGGATCCACAGCCGCTTCTGGCAATTCCACCTGAAGTGGTCCAGGGACACAAGAAGAATCAATGGCAGAGCCCAAATCAATGGCTGAGTCCAAAAGCCCTCCTCCTCCCTCGGCCACACTTGCACCACAGCCACGAACAGAATCCAGGAGCTCTGAATTTCAGTCCCCTGCTCTTATCTCTCAACCAGCATCAGAACACCGGTCATATTTAACTTCCTTCTTTCAAGGCAACCATAAAAATATTGAGGTTTCTCCTCATACAGCAGCAAACACCACCATTCTCCTTCCAGCAGCGACTGCCTCCCCCTGCACAGACTGCCACAGCGCCGGGGACCCCGACACGCACGGTCATGACAACTGCCAAGTGTCATCCACTTCTTGACCGCCTTCAGGGCTTCGCAGGAACAGCCTCCAAAGCAGCATTTATCTAACTACCCTTCTCAGAAAGGGAATTGCAGAAACAGAACAATAATAGCAGGGAGGGGGGAAAAAAAAAAAATCCAAACCCTTTAAAAAGCAAGATGCTCGTTATTTCTTTTGACGGAAGCAGGCAGCTTTTTGCAACAGCGGCCGGGGCGGAGAGCAGGCAGGCTCGATCCCAGCATCATTTGTCCTTTGCAGAATCTCTTCTTTCTTTCTCTATTGAGACTGTTCACTCTGATCGTCTCACGAAGAGGCCCATGAGATTTCCCTCACTGAACTGTATCCCACAGAGAGCCGCAGTCATTTTTAATTTAGGGAAGTAAATGGTAGTGATATTATTTTCCCCCTTTAACCGGGCATTTTCAGCCCCGTTCAGGAAATGCCAGTCTCTAGCCTGCCGGGTGCACAGCTGAGCGCTCTGCCCAGAAGTTTTGGGGAGCAGGGTGCGATCATGGGGTCCGATAGCAGCGTGGCAGCACACCACCAGGGAGGGGTGAGCACAGGCTGTGGGTTCGGGGGGGGTGGGGGGGTGTCCTGCTCCTCCTGCACAGGACAATCGCATCTTCTAGACCAGCCAGCACCCACAGAGA